GGGTAGGAGGGTGGGTAGAGAGGTGGGGGTATATATAAAGGAGGGGGGTTATAATGACCTCTTTTCTGTCAGCTCTCTTAATATTAATAATTAATTAATTACGTAGTAATTTTTTTTTTTATTATTACGTAACTAAAAACTCGAAAGTCCCATTACTATCCGGACCACTAAATTTTTTCATAATACAATCAGTTAGTATTATTGTTAATGCCGGCCTAGCTCTGATTTCAAAATTTGGCCGACTGAATTTTGGTTGCGCGACTAATCTATTTTACCCCGATTTTGCACCCGGATAAAATTTTTATACTGTATGTGGGTAACCCGGTGCCTAAATTTATGCCGAATCTCTAGTAGCAGCGATCTCTAGAATGGGTGCTGGTCAAAATCCCGACAGGTCATAATCCCACAAATCCCGACAACAAAAATTATAAAGTTCATTTAAGTTAGGGTAGGGTTAGGTGAGTGTATAGGTTGGGTTAGGGTGTGCGCTTAGGGTTTAGACGATTATATAGTAAAATTGCTCAAATGAACACTTTTTTTGATTGTCGGGATTATGACTGTCGGGATTTTGACCCAAACTTGTATTTAGCATATTGGGTTCTTTCACAGCAGATTTTAGCAATAGCAAAAATAGCACTAGCTATATCACGACAACCACTTAACCAAATCTGACCGAAATTGTTTTAGTTTAATTCTATATATGTTTATAGAATAAAAATTTGATTAAGTGGTTGTCGTGATATAGCTAGTGTTATTTTTGCTATTGCTAAAATCCGGTTGCTCTGTTTCACAACAAAAGAGCATGTTTTTTGCACAAAAATTAACGAATTTTCAACACTGTGGAGGCTTAGAGTATATATATACTTTATATAAGCATGAACCATACTAGATACTAAAATTAGACATCTAATTAGGATTATGGTAACTTTTTAATAGTTGTGTTTACATAAAGTTTTTTCCATATATATAGTATAAGTATATATATATTATTGTATTATATACATATTTATAAAATAGAAGTGCATACAAAGAGAATTTTATAACAGATAAAAAAGGTACATATGTACGTAGCTCACTAATAGCGATAGGACTATTGATAATTAATTGGGTGTATGCATATTTGACTTGCACACTTGGTATATATATATAGATTTGGCGCTACGTAAGTTATTAATTTTTTTGTTTTCGATGATTCTAAAGCAGGTTCAAACCAGTATTTAGACAAATTTGGTCTAAACCAGATTATGAACTGGTCAGAAAACTATAATTTACAATAAAAATGGGACTAAATTCCTCAATTCTTCCTTGTTATCTCTCGATAATGATATTATGAATGGCAAAATCCAATTTTTTTTTATTTGTATCACTAATAATATTATGTAACTATAAACAATTTTTTGACCAATGAATGTCCGGTTCCTTTCAAAATCATTAACGTTAAAAAACAAGGATTTACACTGTTGTATCAACACTAACATAAAAAGGATTGGGTCTCTTATTCATAATTATTCTGTTACAAGTCAAAGTTTTTCTAAAAATATGCCGAAACCCTCATACATCAAAGCTGAAGAATTACGAGACATAATTAAAGATAAAGCCAAGATTCCAAGAAAAGATTACTTGGTTGTTGATGTTCGAGATGAAGATTATCAGGTAAAATATACATACATATAATATATATATATATTATATAAATATAAATATAAATAAATAAATATATATATATATATATATATATACTTATATGTGTTCTAAATAGTTTAGGAATTTATTTGTATAACTATTATAACTATGTATATATTTAAAATCAATCTTTCTTGGCACAGGGAGGAAATATACCAAACTGTGTCAACAGACCATCTGATAATTTTACAGATAGCCTCGACGCCTTGATATCTGAATACAGTCAAGGTATCACATCCTAACTTTCCTAACATATACAGTATGAAATTAAAAAAAATTTTCTAATCCTAACCTAAAATTTTTAAAGTTCCTAAAGTTATATTCACGTGCAGACAATCGCAGCAGCGAGGTCCATCGTGTGCAATTGCCTACGCCAACAAAGTAAATACCGACCAAAATATTCACGTTTTGAAAGGTGGAATGGGTGGATGGATGCAAAAATACAAGGATGATTCAGAATTAGTCGAAAATTATACAGAAGAAGAAAAGTGGGATTTTTAAAATATCATAAAACCAAAGATGGTTGTTTAATGAACGACTTTTTATTTGGAAATCGGTATTAGATTCAAATTTGGAAATTACAAGGGACCAAAAAAATCAGTGTTTATTTTTTGGAATTAATGAAATAAAAACCTACGTTTATCAAAATAACATAAATTTAAAGCTTTTATACATGAAAGAATCAAAACGAGATTAACAAATTAATTATAGTTATTAATATACAGATTGTATATCAAATATTAAATACGCAATTCTAATATACTTATATGAAATAAAGTATTATTAGTTATATTAAAATTTAATCCCTGACCAGCGATAATTCTTTAATTTTGATTCATAGAATTCGATGAATGAAAGATAGTTCCTTTTTGATCGCAAAACTTAGGATGTCATGAAACTATCAATATAAACGTCTAAGAAATTACAACATTCTCAAGAATATCGTTGTTTCTTCGTCTCATTTCTATAAATCATCGCCATCATTGCCCCTATTTTTCGCATGTACGAAATTAAGTTTGACACAATCATCGAAAAAGGAAATATGCCTTGATATTTGCTATTTTTTTTTTTTTTTGTTATTAAAAAAAAAAAAAAGAAAAAAAAAAAAAGCTATATAGGAAATGTAATGTCTTTGACTATTATTAAATACATTTTCTTTGATTATACATATTTTATTATTTCGGGTTGTGATTTGTTGATTAGGTATGTTTGAGTAGAATCTTGTTACATGCATTGCTACGATTTCTTTTTTTTTGTCTTTACAAAACGACGCAGGATGTTCTTCCATTGTAACTTTGAGTGATCTATTTATTATAAAGATATCGAAGCCCAAAACTTTTACGCATTAATTTTTTTTTTTGCACTTTGAACTATCCCTAAAATCCATTCATTTGTACCAATCTCTAGATCATTTGTCTTAACCGTTTCCGGAATTTCTTCAAAAAACCAGTCACCCAAAATGATTCCACCCAAAATACCCAATAGCACTAATTCTGGCATAGCCTCGAATACATAAATCATCCATTCATATTTATTCGTAGAATCCGTGGCTTGAGCAAAGGTAATAAATGTTCTATATACCAGCTCGATGTATAACAAAGCTCCACTGGTGTATAACAGCATAACATGAAGTTGTTGACTAATAGGTTTTTTAACATAAACCACCGCGAAATAAGTTACATAAACCATATATAAAGTTAAGCATATTAAAAATCCTAAAGTTGACACTTTGCGTAAAATACCTTTGGAAGAATTGTCAAATGCATTGCCATCATCCTCATATTCTTGGATGACCTGAACAGCGCCCAAAACTCCACAAACTGGTAATATGAATTTTGTTATGTTAACTAAAAGAATTTCCATAAATAATTTTCCTTTTGATGAATTTGATGTATCTGACGATTTTGTGATTAGGCGAACCCAATCTGTAAGTAATGTATATATACCCATAACAATAAAAAACTCAAAGCCACATAGAATAAAGGCTGAAACCAGCCCTAACGCATCAGAGCTTACGTTGAGAGACCATGCAAGACGAATGCAATAGACCACTGTGCGAGAACAGCTGAATGTAAACAGGTATACGTATATTTGACGCCGACATTGTATTATTCGATACAGGTGAAGTATAGTCATGAGAAAAAACAAAATTCCAAAAATTATTGAGGGAATCGTTGTTGGCATCGATGATGAAAACACCAAGAGTGGGGATGCCATGACTTCTTTTGTACTTTTTAACATAATTTTAATATATATTATTAGTTAAAGTTCTTAAAAATATCAACTAATTTTTTTATAGTATGACGACCTTACCTTTTTTTTGAAGACTGAAAAGCCGTTAAATATATAATTTTGAGAAATATTAGAAATAATAATGTTTTAAAGCGCAAAATTTAAGGAATATGTAACAGTAGTCGACCAATAATTATGTGGATGGATAGTTGGATGAAGTCGCCAAGAGTTAGAAAAATGGGCAATCCAGTCAAAAATAATCTGGATTGAATGCCAAGAAACTTGCCAAGACTTTAATTCGGAAATTTTTTTAATGGCCTAATAAAGTGTTTACACAACGACTATTAAGGTATGCATGTACATACGTACTTCGTACGTACGCCAAGCACTGCACGTGAATTATTTGAGATGGCGATAGAGGTATAATTATTAATATTAACATTAACTAAATAGGAAATATTTAACCCCTTTTCTATGTTACAAGTGACCTTCTCCATAAATCACTATGGTAACAAAATTGTGATATGTAAAGCATTAATGCTATTGTGACATATCGTGATTAATGATAAGTCAATAATTAATGCGGGTATACATTATGACCTTTTAAAATATTACGCATTATTTGTAATTTTCACATCTACTTGATGCGCTAATGTTTATATAGTAAAGGCGTTTTTTTAAAGATTCTTGGCAAATCTCAAAGCAGGAATGCCGCTAGACAATCAGTAAAAGTAGTAAATGTAACAAAATGTAAACACGTAGGCAAGTAAGTATGTGCTTATAGTTGATTCAACTTCTTTGTTTATAAGGCTTTTGGCCAAATTTATGCTCCATTTTATATCGATTAAATTTTACAGCTAGTAAGTATTCACAAAAATGATGTTATACAAAGATGCATAAGACTTCTTATCGTTATCGGGATTAACTACCTTTTATGTAAACAATATTCGCGGGCCATACTTGCCGATAGCTTTTAAGCCAAGGAACCAAGAAATATGTGACACTACAAAGTTTACCTGCTGATTTGCTATAATACCGATTTTTTTTTTTCTTTGGGGTTAATGATCAAAAAGCTCCCGATTTGTCGCGTATTATTTACGTGGAATTGCCACTTACACTTTTAAAGGTTTATTTTCAACATGTTTATCAGCATATTTCTCTTATGAAATAATCCGTCTGGGATTCTCAAGTTAATGTATTTTTAATAGTCACACGTTTTGTCACATCTAAATTTTTTTAAATAATAAGATTATAGAAAAAAAACTATTTATACACTATATAAGTGTATATTAATTGGCTGAAATTTTAGGGTTTCTATTTAAAAATATAAATCCTACTAAAACCCACCAATACTCTTTAATTATAAACTCTAACCCTAAATCCTAATCCAACCATTAAAAAAAGGCGATTTCTATATTGTACACTAGTATATGAAACACGGGTACATATAATAACTCAAATTTTTGCTTATAAAACCACTCTTTGAGTTCTACGTAAAAAAAAAAAACTTATGTAAATTTTTGTATAAACTACCTCTAACCCTAACCTCTAATCTTAACCTATCTTAACTTTAATTCGATTTTATAAATTATACGTACCCGTGTTTCATACACTAAATTTTCTAAAAAAAAAATCTACCCTAAAAATTTTTAAAATTTCATATTAAATGAAGGCAACTTCTATTTGTACACTAGTGTATAAAACACGGGTATATTAATAACTCAAAATTTTGCTTATGAAACCATTCTTCGAGTTCTAACAAAAAAAAAAATCATAAAATTTTAGTATAAAATACCTCTAACCCCAACCTATCTTAACTTTAAATTGATTTAATTTTTTTCTCTAAATGCTGTTTTAAATTTTTATAAATTATACCCGTGTTTTATACACTGGTGTAAATTAAATTCAATTTCAGCATCATCCGATTTCAACATTATCCTCGGCATTAATTAATTGTGCAAATCCATGTAATACATAAATTATAGACCAAAATTAAGCCCGATTTAAGGTTAGGGTAAGGGTTAGTTTTGGGATATAGTTAACGCTAAAATTTTGCAATGAATATTTTTTGTTAGAGCCCGAAGAGTGGTTTCATAAGCAAAATTTTGTTATTATATGTACTCGTGTTTATACAAATCTTTAAACTTATATATTAACTTCGAAATTTATGATAAAATAGATTGAAAAGAGGGGAATGTTTATTTTTAAGAAAATGTGCTTGTCACCACGGTCCAGTAAAGACCGAGTTTATAACCGGTTTATAAATTGGTCCAATCGGTCATAACTTTGAACCGGCCTAGAAATTGGTCTGTATAATAATAATACGTAAGTGGATTCATTATTTATTGTGACATTTCCAACTTAGCACGACACACATAATAAATTTGCTTATTTATTGGGAACTGACCGTAATATATAACAAAGTTCTTGAAGCAACCAATCAGAGTGCTTCAAAAAGACCGGTTTGTAGTCTTCGGTCCGATCCGCGGTTCCGGATTAGGGTCAGTTTGCCTAGCGTGGGCAGTTTTTGCGGCCAACTAATTTTTTAACTAGCTAACTAACCAATGGCCCCAAACTTCTACCAAAAATTTCTAATTATATAATATTAGCCAAACACATTACATATGATTTTTAGCCATTTTGGCCAAATAATTTTCATGCCTTTTTTAACTATTGGCTAGCCAAGTAGCCAAGTGACAACACCGAGTTTGTTTTCTCATCTAGATTAAATTTATTTTTTTAATATAAATTTGTTTTATTAGATGGAATCTTGCTATCTAGTAAGTAGTATATAGCAAAATCAAACAAAAACTTGATTTTCAAGTTTTTGAATTTATCAATTTACAGTATTGGATATTAAATACAAATTTTTTTTTTTTTTTTTTTTTTTTTTGAAAATTGACGGTCATGTCACATGCCCTGCTTTATTTATGTCATTTTACTAATTCAAAAATTAGTGAGTTACACTATGCCTTATGGCAAAAACTGGAATGTGGCTCACCCGGTTACTTTGCGTAACTAAATACTAACTTAGCATCTATGTGCAACCTGCCAATGATAAGTTCAAGCTCTCTGGTTTGGGTCAATTTGCTATAGAAAGGCCCACCCCAAATCACTGCTCTGGTTCATCAGCCCGTCATGACCACCTTCTTTCCCAACCTTCTTCTTCTAGCCTTCTAAATAGAAGAACTCTACCGCAAGAACAACAAGAGATTTATGAAATTAAAGGAAAACTAAAAAAAAGAGGAAATCTAAACTAAACGAAAAAAAATAATACACCAAAAAGAAAAATAGAGAAAAGAAGAAAAAGGCCGCAAAGAAAATGGCCATGATAATACTATTTTTGCCTGTGCCAGGCTATATAAATTATATAGGTTGTATAGAAAAGAGAATTCTACTATGTAATAAGAAGAGAGAAAAGAAAAAAAATTGTCTAACATCTAGAAATTTCTACACGTGTTTCTCTGATCTCTTATAGACTATCATTGCCTAATCGAGAAGCAGTACCCGAGTCGACTCGTAGCAGGTTCCATTTTGGTAGATGCATCCTAATTTGAAAGCAGTAAACACTATGATCTTTTGGAGGGAGTATGCTGGTTTTTCTACTTTTTGGCCAAAATTTCTAAAAAAAATTCTAAAGTAGCAAGAATATAGTAAAAGGTTTTCAGTTGCAAGTACTTTCAAAAATTTCTATAGAGTGTGTTGAAATTTAGAACTTTTGTTGTTTTCCCTGTGTTCTTCTTTAAAGTAACAGCCTTAGAGCTTCGTCAACGAAGTTGGATTTTCCCACACTCCATCAAGATTTTTCATACAAGGGCACCACCTGCCAGTTATCTTGTATAATAACGCTCTTGGCTTGCATGCCGAACGTCCCTTTAGAGGAGTTCCTTAGAAAAGCAGTTAATCTCTAGACAAACCACACCATAAGGCCACGTCTCTCTAACAAAAGTTGTGTTTTTTTGTTAGTTGAAATTTTGGTACAAGTGATCATCTTTGGCTAATATATTAAAATGCATTTAGAGAGAATATTTATATATATATAATTTAAAAAATAACCTGCACTTAGAGGATATAGAACATGCACTTATTTTATAAATCCCAACTTGGGACTAGGCTATTTTCTTGCAGATAGAGAGAACTTGCACTTAGAAAACATGCACTTAGAGGGAGTCAACTGTACTTAATTTAGCCAACCATTTAAACAATTAGGTATTTAAATATATTTCAACATGGCATTATTATTTTTTTTGACATGTTAAAAGTCTAAATTTAACTAAATGCCTAAATAGCTAACTAAATAAATACTGTATGACTAAATATCTAAATGGTTGACTAAATAAAATACTATATGACTAAATGTTAATATTATGAATAATTTTATTACAGAAGTTATATTAGAATTATCATAATTCTATTGTGAATTAAAATAATTCTAGTACAAAACATACTTACCATTGCAGTAAGTGTTTAGAATAAATTAATTAGCATTTAAATTAATGTGATTTATTTATAAATTACCAAAAAAATTATGGATTTATTAGCTATTCTGAATAAGATAAGTTAATTTGTATTAGAATTATTATGATTCTATTGTGGCAAGTGTAAACAACATTCTGATACAGAACTTACTCACTACTTCATTAATTTGGTGTCTATAACATGCGATTAAATGTAAGTTATTGTAAATATCATAATTCTGTTACAAAACTTACTATTCAAATACTATAGTATGTGGATATTAACATGATTTTTATTGTAAAGTTGCTGTAAATAATTTTGTTAAAAAACTTACTTGCTATTCTATTGACATATTGGAATTGTTATAATTTTTATTATGAGTTATTTAAAAATTTTTATTACAGTACTTACTTGCTATTCCAGTGATCATGAATAATTGTATTTCTATTGTAAGTTATTATAAAAAAATCCATTATAGAACTTACTATTTAGTAATAATAATTAATATATACTTAAGTGTATATTAGTTTGTATTAGAATTGTTGTGGTTTCTATTATAAGTTACAGTGATTATTCTGTTACAGAGCTTGTTATTCTGGTAGTTAAGGTAAGTTAGTTTCATTAGAATTAATGAATTTATATCACAAGCTACTAAAAGATTTTGATACAGTTTTTCGATAACCCCAGTAGAGTTAAGGTGAGTTAGTTTACATTGGAAGTATTACTCTGTTACAGAACTTACTATTTTAGTTAGTACTGTGAAAATTCTATTGCAAAACCTATTATTCTTTTTGATACACATTATGTAGTTCATTAATGCATGTTACTAGCATTATCTATACCTAAGTTAATAATATCAAAGATATGTAGAATGCATAAATGCATGAAAGTTGGTTTTTAGAAATTATAAATAGACAATTGAGTTTCGATATTATCATGTAGAATGTCATAGTTAAGACATAACCTTGGACATTTTTGTATCCTTAATTCATATTGTCTTGATTTCAAAATATACTGTATATTTTTACTATAAAGTTTGGTATATATAGTATATATATAGTAAACACGATCAAATCTTCTTAAGCATCATCTAATTATGGAAACATAGCTATAATGGGAATGATCTGAGAGTATAAAGATAATTTTAGTACCATATCGATCGATCGATTTTTATAATACCATTACTTACGTACTAGTTCACCATGTCAACCCCGTCGGTTTTAGTCGGACTGATTAACAGCCCTAATTCCCATATGTATTTTCATATATATTTCTTAATTTAGACATTTCGACATTATTTAGACATTTCGGCATTATTTAGACATTTCGGCATAATTTAGGATTTCGGCAATATTTAGACATTTCGGCAGACTAAATATCAAATGTCGAAATATTTCTACAAGCATAAAACAATTTCGGCTAACAACATTAAACACATCTAATTGTAAAATAATATTCGCATGTAAAATTCGATCTTTTTTTATTTCTTCTGGTAGCATTTGTTTATGGCACTTAACTAGTATAGCTTTGTTGTGTTTTTTTTTTTTTTTTGATTTCCACAATGTGTCTTCACAATAACCGGTAAGTTCTGTAACTGAATTTCTGAACTTCGGCATTTTTTTTTTTTTTGGTATGATATTTCTAATACTTTTGTTACAGGATTTTTATAGCACCACCCAGGGTAGTTGGCACAAGTGGCATGCCACTGGCGCAGTACTATAAATTAATAATGGCATGCTATTTGTATCAACTAGTAGTGCAGACATTTAGAATTTTGGAAATAGCTGCCCCAGCAAAAATATGCCGTATAAATGCCGTATAAGTGTTGTATGCCGGATTTATTAATTGGTGAATTAAAAAAAAGTTATTCATGTTTACAAACATTTATTCACAAACAATTAATTACAACACTAATTTACTATTAAATAATACCCTTCAGATTACCATTCTATTCGGTCAGTGAGTATTACAATAAATTTTTAATGATATAAAAAAATACATAATATTTGACGATAATTAAAATGGTAACCTAAATACGGCAAAAGTATACATTGTAATAAAGACAACACGTTTAAAGCATGGTATTTGGCGTGTGATTCTGACAAGCAGAAATGAGAATATTAATGATTGCATCCGAGAATTTTAGCTTAGAGCCATAGGAATGCAATTGAATGGATTCAAAATAACGTTATTTTGAAAATTAGATTCTTTTTAAAAATAACTTGTATGCTCTTGACATTAGCGTTCATGTGCGTTCTGAATTAACGAGCATCCTAATGTAGCACATAATTTATTGTTGCGATAAATGGTATACAGTAGACACTCCATATGTGCACTCTCTATAAGTGCACTTCACATGCACTTCTCGATAACAACAAGTGCACATACGATCTAATATTATTATTAAATATTATATCGTTATATGTAGATTATGCTCTGTAAATGAATATTCTCTAAATGCACTTTTTACCCAAAAACGTGTAATTATGAAAGGTTGACTTTATTGGATTAGAAAATCTACTCTTATTTTGAAATAACGCACATGGGTGTATTTGATAATGCGCAGGTCAATTAATTAGCGCTTATACGGTATCTAATGTTAAAAGAGGATTTGGTTATGTATATTCAACGGATGGTATACGAAAATTGATTATAATTGTGTAAAGCGCGTCGAATTTGATTGGCTAGTGAAATTTTTCAAGGTAGTAGCACTATACGGCATATACATCACTCACGGCAATATAACTTCGTGGTACGACCCTGAGAAATATCTGCATCTAGTTATCAACAACCTAGTGCCACCACAATAGTTCCACACACCAACCAGTAAGTTCTGTAACTAAATTTTTTTGCAGTAAATTACACTAGATACATATTATGGTAATTCCAATACAAGCTAACATAACCTCATATTCATTCAAGCCGTACACTTGAGTAGGATTTTCATTCAAATTTGATATATAAGTTATAAAATTTATTTGCTTATTTTTAATAAGTTATATGCTATAAATGCTTATTAATATTAGTAAAAATGCTTGCTTGAGCTATTATAAAAAATTTTTAATTCTTGTGACCTATATAATTTCAAGAGAGCAATTTTAATACAAGTTTTTTTTTTTTTTTAGAACAAATTTATGCTATCTCGTAATTAAATATATTGTATCAAGGCTTTATAATTAAATTCGGTAGATTGAGGTATTTTTTGAGCAAAAAACATTCTTATTAGGATAATAGAATTGGGTTATAAACATCCGAAATATTATTAAAATAACATAAATGCTATAAAATTTCAATACGAAAGTTTGCATTAATTTTCTGTGATTACACTATCTGTCGTGGATAAAATTACTATTTATATAAGTTCTATTATCTTTTAAAAGATTTTATTTGTATAGACAATTATTTTTATACAAATAAGTATTATATATTAATTCATTTGATTCATTTATTATGAATCTGAAATATTTCATATTCGTTTATAGAAAATGATCCATTCAAAATACTAATCTGCTTTTCGTATGAACAATTCTGATAAAAACAATGATCTCCTTCCTTATTATCATTAATAATAAGATCTTCAAAGTTTACACCAGAATTACCGCAAGAATAAAGAGCTTAGTTTGGGTATTGTATTCGACTTAGAATAGAGGATTTAATGGCACCATTTTTCAATGAAAAAATGAAGCTATTCTCACATCTTATATAACCTTTTTTTGAATTGTCCCAAGCGAGGGGATTATAACCACCAAGAATTTCATCAGTGCCTTTAACTTTCATGACTGTAACGGTATTTGGTTGCTTATCACATACTTTCCAAAAAGAATCTGAGCTAAAACCATCTCTGGTTCCTCGAAGAAGTAATTTAAACTCATAAGGGATGTTTGCTATATCATACACTTCAGTTTTCTTATCAATCCATGTGGCAATTTCGGCTTTATGCTCTTCAGTAATAACTGTTGAAAATGGTTCTGTTCTTGTTGGTAATGCTGGTTTTAAAATAATGCGAGGTGGTAGAATTGTTGATGAAATTGGTTTATTTAGAGCCATTAATTTATTAGATAGATCTTTCCAAAGAGAAGTTTTTTATATGGACGTATACTATCAACAACATCATCTCCGGGAATTTGAAAATAACGTATATGAGGTAGACAATTTTGTAAAGTAGTTTTTACATTCTGAAAATTTTCATGAGTCCAGTTTTCAGGATTAGAAGGTAGTCCTGGATGCTTTGCAATACCCCATTTAATAACATAATTCCAAATCTCTATTTCTTTCATTTGTAAATCATCACGTTTAATAAGTGATATAAGTGCATTTTCTTGAAGTGAAGTAAAGTCTTCTGAATCAAAAATGATATTCGGATATTTTACTGCAATGTTGTTACACCATTTTTGTAATTCTTGAAGTTTATTACTTTCGAAACTTGCTTTGTAAACATAAGCAAAATGGGTGCGTAACCAATGTGCCTCTACTTCAATCAAATGAGTCTCAAGATGTTTTATTAGCTCTTCAAGAAGAAGTTCACAAGCGGCTAACATAATATCAAAAGTAGATGAAGTATCAAGGTCTTTTAAAGAGAACACACCTCCGTAAATATACCTTAATATATACAGTATTAAATTAAATTAATTAAATTATATATTATTAAATAAATAAAATAATAATTTACCTGATAAAAACTTCAAAATGTTGAATTGAGATGCTTGGTTTTAACTTAATTTTTATGATATTATTCGACTTTTTGTTTGCCAATTCGTTACGAAAATATAGAGATCTAGATTTCAAAATAGCAGAATGTGTTCTATATTCTTTAATATTTGGAGATTCACCAACTTCAATAATAACATTATAATCATCTCCATTTTCAAGAAGTTGAATATAATTATTTGAAAGGTTTTCAAAAAAATTGGTTGTCATTGTTGCTATGAACGTACGTAAGTGTAACGAACAAAATTTTAACGAGTTAAGAGTGGTAGATCATATATAAACTTCTAAATTAAGCTATCGCTATTTTGTTCTATATGTGCTTGAGTCGAATTATAACTCCTAACGATAATTCAAAATTCTTCACTTTCTTCATAAAATTATATAGCCTGAAATTAGATCTTGCATGAATTAATAATTTTAGGCAGGTGCAACTTCAGTCGCAACTTCAAGCAGATGATAATCTCATTCACGACAATTAGATTATAAAAACCTTAAACATGATAACGTAACAAAAAATAAATTTCTTCTCATAAGTTTTTTTTTTTTTTTTTTTTTTTTTTTTTTTTTTTTTTTTTTAATTATACGATTATATATAGAATTCAAATCGAAAAATTTTGATTTGGGTAGTTGTTAAGATAATTTTAAAGTACAATAAGTTTTTCTTTTTTAAAAAAAAAAGGCACTAACGGCAGGGTTGGCAATGGACTATGTCTAGTAAAAATAATTTATCAATGGACATGAATGGATCAATGGGTATATTCCATTGATCATTGATCCATTGGTCCATTAATTTTTAATTATAAATTACAACCTGTTATGCTCTGAGCTATGTATACTCTATTTGGTGTTGTACACCCTTCGTTAGTAATCTTTTTGACCAAAACTTTAGCATAGTCCTGCACGGATCTAAAAGTCTTGCATGGGATTAGAAATCCCATACACGATCTAAAAAATTCTTCAATGCTCATTAGTTAGTTTTTTAACGGTCATTAATCTACATATTATTTTTATACTTACATAATGTTAATGGTTCCAATACACATGTACGTATAATATGAACTATTTAATATGGTATCTAAAAATAATATTTATGTTATATTAATCTTTAGCCCAGCAATAAAAAGTAGAAATACGCACTGATGAAATATATTAGAATGTAAACTAAGCGAATCTCTATGATTGTTAGTTGAAATAGCATAAAGAATTTAAACCAGGGCTGAAAATATCTATTCGTTTTCCCAGTCTGCAGCCCACTGTCTCAAGTATCTTTTTGATACATTAAAAAATGCAAATAATTTGAATCAACAACGATATATTTGAGTGGCTGGGAAAATGAATAAGCATTTCAGCCTTGATAAAATGCCATAATATTTTCACCACTGTTATTATTTTTTAATATTGTATCACTATGTCACATTTTGCCCAAATTATATAACCTATATATAGCTTATTGCCCATTGGTCATTGATTAAATATTTCTTCAATGGGGTTAATTTATTGGATTAATGGACCGGAGCTCCATTGATAGCAATGGACAAATTTGCCAACCCTGCACTAACGCTAAAAAGATTGTCCGACTTCCTATATTATGCTTACACAATTGTTACTGATTATGAAATACAGTAAGAATTAAACTAAACGTTCATGGATTGACTTACGCGTAATGTACTATCTAGAGGTCCAATCCGGATAAATCCATCATCCGTTTATCCGTATCTGATTATCCAGATAATTCAAATCGCTCAGATATCTGGATAATTCCGATAGGTATTCGGATAATTATCCGAATATCAATAGTAAAACGGATGTCTCAGATCCGGATATTCGATGGATGGATAGGAACACTAGTACTATCGATACAGTACAATACACTTTAAAATAAAAAGTTGATTTGTAAAAGAAGGATATTCATTTATAATTGGTAGAATGTTTCCTTCTGTTGGCTGCAAGAAGGTTTCTTTCTTTACAGATACCTACTATCTATGCATCAGTGCTAGTGGCAAAACAATAAGAATTTGGTGATTGCTGTCACAATAATGAATACTTATTTAACATTCATGTTATATTATAGTTTGTATTTCTATATTTAAAAACTAATACTATTCAAAATATATAACTACTGTATATGCTTGTATACTTTTTTGTTTTATAAATTCAAACAATTCTTTAATATGAAAATTTTTATAACTAAATTACAATAAAAAAGTGTATATACTATATATATTTTTTAAGAAAAAAATGTTTTTTTTTTTGACAATTACATAAGAATAATACAAATCATGGTTATTCCTACGACTATTAAACTTATAGAAACACCAAATAGACCACTATTTTTTATATTATTAGAACCACTTACTCCTATTGCCTCAGTTGAATCATCTGCTATAGCACCTGTAACTAATTGAAATGAAATAATGGTGCTTGGTGGGACATAAGTAGTATATGAAACAATTTCACCGTCAGGTTGCTGAGTGGTAACAACAGTTGTAAAACCTGGAAATACTTGAGTAATTGTTGATGTAAATGTTTTTAGGGTGAATTTTGTTAAAGTTTTTTGATTTTCATTTTGAGGAGTTTGAGTAACAATTGAAGTATCTGGTGGCATAGTTGAAGTGAAAATTTTTCCTGTAGCACTATTATTATAAAACAAGTAATTATTAATGGATGGTAAATAATAACACTCACGAAAATTAGTTAAAAAAAATAAAAATAAAAATACACACGCTTTGCCTGGTGGGTCGGGTATACAATTAATAGTTTCTTTACAAACATCTTGAATTGTTGTCGTTCGAGCTACAACTAATTTATTTGCTGAAAATTGAATAATTAGAATTGGATTAATTGTATAATAACGACAAATGAACATAAGATATATAAACGGGTAGGACTAGGGTACTACTACTATTTATCTAATGTTTATCCAATATTAACTAGAATATTAACCAGAAAAAACTCTGGACTACTTCACACCGGAAATTGCGATGAGCTTTTAATACATAGTAGAATCAATGGTTGAAAGGTTACCTGCTGTAGCTTGAGTCTGTGTTGGTTTTACATTACCAGTATTTCGAGCCGGCGCATCCTGTGCTGGTGTATTTGGAGCCGCGTTTTGAGCTGGTGTATTTGGAGCCGCATTTTGAGCTGGTGTATTTGAAGCTGGGTTTTGATTTGGAGCCGCGTTTTGAGTTGGCGTATTTGGAGCCGCGTTTTGAGTTGGTGTATTTGGAGGCGCATTTTGAGCTGGTGTATTTGAAGCTGGGTTTTGATTTGGAGCCGCGTTTTGAGTTGGCGTATTTGGAGCCGCGTTTTGAGTTGGTGTATTTGGAGCCGCATTTTGAGTTGGTGTATTTGGAGCCGCGTTTGGTGTTGGTGCATTGGGAGCCGCGTTTGGTGTTGGCGTATTGGGAACAGATGCACCTTGTGTCGGTGCATTTTGAACAGATGCAGGTGTATTTGGAACAGATGCATCTTGTGTTGGTGTATTTGGAGCCGCATTTTGAGTTGGCGTATTTGGAACCGCGTTTTGTGTTGGTATATTTGGAACAGATGCATCTTGTGTTGGTGTATTTGGAGCCGCATCTTGTGTTGGTGCATTTGGAACAGATGTATCTTGTGTTGGTGTGTTCAGAACCGGTGCATTTTGAGCAGGTGTATTTTGGGCGGGTGTATTTGGAGGCGTGTTTTGAGTAGGTACATTTTGGATGGGTGTATTTTGAGGTGTATTTTGGACGGATGTATCTTGAGGTGCATTTTGGGCAGGTGTATTTTGAGGTGCATTTTGGGCAGGTGTATTTTGAGGTGCATTTTGGGCAGGTGTATTTTGAGGTGCATTTTGGGCAGGTGTATCTTGAGGTGCAGCTTGGACAGGTGTATTTTGAGGTGCAGCTTGGACAGGTGTATTTTGAGGTGTATTTTGGGCAGGTGTATTTTGAGGTGCATTTTGGGCAGGTGTATCTTGAGGTGTGTTTTGGACAGGTGTATCTTGAGGTGTATTTTGAGGTGCTCTTTGGATAGGTGTATTTTGAGGTGTATTTTGGACAGGTGTATTTTGAGGTGCATTTTGGACAGGTGTATTTTGAGGTGCATTTTGGGCAGGTGTATCTTGAGGTGTGTTTTGGACAGGTGTATCTTGAGGTGTATTTTGAGGTGCTCTTTGGATAGGTGTATTTTGAGGTGTATTTTGGACAGGTGTATTTTGAGGTGCATTTTGGGCAGGTGTATCTTGAGGTGTATTTTGGACAGGTGTATTCTGAGATGCTCTTTGGACAGGTGTATTCTGAGATGCTCTTTGGACAGGTGTATTCTGAGATGCTCTTTGGACAGGTGTATTTTGAGGTGTATTTTGAACAGGCGCATTTTGATTTTTTTGAGCAGCCGGTGTATCTTGAGCCGGAGAGTTTTTGGGAGCAGACGCAGGTGTGTTGATCGGCTGACTTGGTGATTTTGCAGTATTTTGTCGTTTCCTCAAATCGATCCTTTTGTCATGATTTGAAAAACAAGTACTAGTATATACCATTAAGACAACCAAGATCAAACCAACTAATATAATATGATTAAAATTTATATGAATTTTTGCCATCTTCGTACTATTAAATGTAAGATAATGACATTAAAATACACGTAAAATATCTTGTTTCTAAAGAAAATTTTCCAATAAAATCGATCGACTTAGAGTATTATTTGGAAAAAGTTAAACCATCTCAATATATATATATATATATATCTGCCAAGAGTCGGTATATATATGCGGCTTTTAATGCATGGCCTGAAAAATGACTTCGCTTATTATATTACAGTGGCAATATAGATAACCATTTCAATTCAAATCTAAATATCTTCAAACCACATCAGGTTATATTACCAAAAGAAGTATAGCCGTATATTATTGTCTTAAGGTTTTAGAAATTTTATAATGAAATAATAATGATTAAAATAATATGTTTATGTAGATATAATTAGATATATATTGTCATATAGAACTGTAACAAATTGCTACGTGAAACTTAACGGGATGTACAATTTATGTAAGTATTGTGTTCATCAGCGGGATAGGGCGATTTTTGCATATTTTTGTACCTTCCAAGTTTGTAGGAAAATTATATGACTGATGAAAAACTTTTAGCTTAAGAATTTTGAAGTAATTATTATGTAATATTTATTAGAACGAGATTGCTTATATGCTATGAATAGTTAGCTTTATCGCCGTCCAATAAACTATTGTAAATTTTAGAAAGCTTAAATATGCATGATCTTTGAATACGCACTTTTAAATCTATATTGTAGTATTTTTGTTAAGCATTGAGTTATGTGTATGTATAATGCGCAGTGCCTGGGGGCACTCCCTATTATTTGCGGGAAAAAAATTAAAGGAAAAAAAAAAAAAGAAGTTTCATCTATATATAATATATAAATACTGTATATAAATAAATAAAAGCTGAAGTTTATGATCTGCAAAAGTCGTACGTATCGATATAAATTTTGTACATACGTAACCATAACAACGGAAAAGCCATCGCGGCTCACTTGGCTCACTGAACTGTGGCTATGGTAACATGTTTATATTACGATACAATCGGAATTTTATTATTATTTGTCCGAATTCAACAAAAATACTAAAATTAATAATTTTCAATTTAAGAATAAAATTATAAATAACAACTGATGTCTAAAAAAAGTTGGTACGCATGTACGCATGTACGAGATCAGATTAAGATTGATTTTCTTTTGCGTATTTGTGGCTGTGGATATTATACCGATATTTTTTAGAATTCTAGAAAAAATTCTGGTACATTTCTGGTACTTCGGTTAGATGCATAAATTTTGTAATCTACCTTCTCTTAAACAATCGTCTCTATATACCTAAGCAATATAATTTTGTTTCTTGAGGCATTTATGTATTCCTTTAATGTGACTTTCATTTCACGGAGATATAATCATTGTCATGTAGTTCGTTCATTCACCCTCAGATGCTTTGTTAAAGTTCTACAAAGGTTTATTATAAAACACGGGGCTATACTGAAACAAATCTGCGGATTCCATATGTTGGTGACTTCTGAGCATATTTTTTTAGGCAACTTTACGGGAGTAATGTATCATTCGTACGTACGTACGTATGTACGTATACGATCGGTGCTGTATACTTCTGAAATTTGTTATGCACTAATACCAGATTAGGGATTGTGTAATTCAGTTAAAGTTCTGTTAGAATTATGTTGGTTCGGTTCTTAAAGTTCGGAACTCTCCTACTGTGTAGGATCAACGACACATCTATCTATTAAAAAATTTGACATTCGACGTGTATGTCCGTGGTGCAGCTCTTGTATTTTTTTTCTGCATCATATTCGAGAACGTCTGACTTATGCATCAAATTGAAATGCACATCATGGATATACGTAACAAAACAATAAAATGCTACGTATAGTGTTTGAATTCTTACAATAACATAGATTCTGTTTAGTTGCACACAAGCAAAAGGTTTCCTATCTTATAAATATTGCATCGGTATATTCCTAATTTTCATTTCCCAAGTAATTCCTTGTGAAATTTTTAATATACGTACGTATAATACAGCTAAACACTAAATGCTAACTTTAAAAAGCTGTTATGATTTTAACGTTACATCTGATGATTGGCTAAAACTCACATGAATGTCGTTTTCATTCGCCTACTGCGTATTGCGTATTATGCAAAAGAACTATTAAAACTGTATAAAGTCCAAACAGCATCACTGCTATAATTAGGCACGTACGTTTTTAGGTTTTATTTTTATTTTATTTTTAAGGGTTTTTCTATATATCTCTGGCCAGAGATATATAACTTATATATCTCTGGCCTATTAGCCAATCAAAATAAGCAAAAGTCACGTAACTCGTTTTCCAAATCGCCGGCTGATCGGAAAGGCCTGTGTAACCCTGAATCCGACCTCACTTTACGGACTTCGCCATTATCCAATCAAATTGCAAAAAAAAATTAGAGCATACACAGTAAAATTTGATATGATAATCTTAACTTTAAGTGAAGATAACTTAGCAACCACCTGATCAAATTCAAAGAAAATTTTTATTTGAATTCTATGGATCCATAGAGTTCAAATAATTTTTTTTTTTTTCGAATTTGGTCAAGTGGTTGCTAAGATACCTTCGCTCAAAGTTTCAGAAAAAAATTAAAACGTTTATCAATACAAGCTGCGCCAAATTTCTCTAAAACTTTGAGCGAAGGTAACTTAGCAACCACCTGACCGAATTTGATGAAAAATTTTTTATTTGAATTCTATGGATCCATAGAATTCAAATCAAAAAATTTAGTCAAGTGGTTAATAAGTTACCTTCTCTCAAAGTTTTAGGAAAATTTTGTGCAGCTTGTATTTTGATAAACGGTTTGATTTTTTCTAAAACTTTGAGCGAAGATAACTTAGCAACCACCTAATCAAATCCGATAAAAATTTTTTTATTTGAATTCTATGGATCCATAGAATTCAAATAAAAAAATTTTCATCAAATTCGGTCAGGTGGTTGCTAAGTTACCTTCGCTCAAAGTTTTAGAGAAATTTGGCGCAGCTTGTATTGATAAACGTTTTAATTTTTTTCTGAAACTTTGAGCGAAGGTATCTTAGCAACCACTTGACTAAATTCGAAAAAAAAAAAAATTATTTGAATTCTATGGATCCATAGAATTCAAATAAAAATTTTTTTCGAATTTGGTCAGGTGGTTAACTTCGCTCAAAGTTTTAGAAAAATTTGGCTCTGCTTGTATTTTGATAGACGGTTTGATTTTTTTCTAAAACTTTGAGCGAAGATAACTTAGCAACCACCTAATCAAATCCGATGAAATTTTTTTGATTTGAATTCTATGGATCCATAGAATTCAAATAAAAAAATTTTCATCAAATTTGGTCAGGTGGTTGCTAAGTTACCTTCGCTTAAAGTTTTAGAGAAATTTGGCGCAGCTTGTATTTTGATAGACGGTTTGATTTTTTCTAAAACTTTGAGCGAAGATAACTTAACAACCACCTAATCAAATCCGATAAAAATTTTTTAATTGAATTCTATGGATCTATAGAATTCAAAAAAAAAAAAATTTCATCAAATTTGGTCAGGTGGTTGCTAAGTTACCTTCGCTCAAAATTTGGCGCTGCTTGTATTTTGATAGACATTTTGATTTTTTTCTAAAACTTTGAGCGAAGATAACTTAGCAATCACCTAATCAAATCCAATGAAATTTTACCTTCGTTCAAAGTTTTAGAGAAACTATAAATCGGTTAGTGGTTAGGGTAGATGAATTTTAATAATGTTACAGTATGTATTTATAAAAATTATATGTCAGGTAACTTTCACCTAGGTAAAAATAAAATTTTCTTTATTTATAATAATTTACATAACAACTATCTCTAACATAACCTAACATTGCTATCTAACCTAAGCTAACCCTAACACTAAACCTGTATAACTACTGCACTAACCCCATGCTACTATTTAACCCTAACCCTAACCCTAACTCTAACCCTAAACCCACTCTATCTTTTAATTTTAACCTTAACCCTAAACACCACATAAATGACAATTAGCAAATATGTAAGATATAGCACACAGGACCAGCAAAATTCAACATGGTGTGGCATTGGTACAACGGTACTAGCAAAACGACACAGTATCATTGAAACTAGGGTGGAGGCACAGGAAAATTATTGGGCATGCCCCAGGCTTGAGGCATGCCCCCTTGAATAGTTTTTTGTTACATGCTATACAATCCAATTAGATTTTTTAGATTTTAGTATTAGATCTGACATTACTAAGCAGTTTCAGTTAATTAATTTTTGACTTTTAGAATTGACATTATTAAGTGTTTCATTAACCTTCATAATCTCTATTTTTAAAAAATGAATAACTTATATGTCTAGGTTTTATATTATTTCAAAAATTGTACACCAATTGCGAGTTTAGTATATATATTTTAAGGTAGTAATTATAGTTTAATTTTTTATTTTGTATTGAATTTATTTTTTATATTAAACAATATTCAGCAAAGCCAATAGACCTTTATTTAATTACAATTTAAATTTTCTATTTATAGGGTATCAAAAAGAATATCATCAACAGACCATTCATCATCTTCTGGCTGATTACTTCTTTCTATATTAACCTGAGATAAATTATTGTTACAAGCTTCTTGATCTCTTTCAAATGCTACAATATCAAAAAATTCTTCTATAATAGAGTTTTCATCTTGTTCTATTTCCACTTCTTCTAGTTCTTCATTCAGGTCTTCAATTAGTTCGTTTTTCTTTTTGTTGAAAAAGATATTAATATTTTCATCTTTCTGAATTAAAGACTCAGAAACAGCTTTAGGATTCTTATTCTTGGTGGGTATAGCCTTTTTTAGTTTAGTTCGAAGCTGTCCAAGAATGGAAAGATTATCAGAGGTTAATCTATTTTTTGCTTTTGATTTAATTATTCTGAGCAATAAAAAAAGTCATTCATAGGCAGCTCCATGAGGAACGATAGTAAAGACTTTCATTGCAAAATGGCGTAGAAGTAGTGCATTACCAGTAAATTTAGCCCAAAATGTTCGTAGTGATTGTAAAGAAATGAAGAAAAGTGAATCAAAAGGGGCATCACTATTTTTATAACCAATTAATTCATTATATAGGAGCCCTGCCTCTCTTTTTTAAATTTTCAAACATTAGATAGTTCAAGAGAAGCACAAATGATTTTTTCTTCATCCATCTTTTTTGATATAGCAACTTGTTTGTGTGCTAGAGAAAGAAAAAGTACAATAAAAAAAATATCACTATCAAATTCTCTTGCATGTTTGTTAATAACTGAGAGAGAATGGGCTTTAAAACTATCAATTGGAATCTCAAGCTGCGATATTTGTCGATGAATATAAATAAGTTCTTTAAAGATATTGGCTAAAGTTGAATTGCTTGATTTCAACCTTCCAATAGCATCAACAACCGGCTTAATTACTTTTGTTAATACATTATTATTAGCAAAATAGTACCTGTTACAAATGATATTTTTAACTGTATTATTTTCAATTTCAGGATACCTAGGATGTTTAGTTTCACTCAACAATAGACAATGTTGAAAGCCTTCTTCATAGGCCGATACTCCTATACAAACTTTAGCAAGTGAATACCATTTGGTTTCGCAGAATGTACTTAAGAAATGTTGAATATTATACTCTTTTTGCCAAGTTTGTAATTCTCGACACCAGATATGTGATGCATTGAAAAAATTAACAAGTTTTTAGTTTTTTTTACAGATTGTAATTGTGTCAGAAAAACTAATAATATCTTTAACAATTAGATTAAAAACATGCAAGCAGGAGCGGATAGAAATTATATTAGAATACTCTTCATAAAGCAATTGTCTTATTTTGTCCATGTTCAAAGGATTATCAGTAATACAGACAATTACAGATAATATTTTGATGCCATTTGCAGTTAAAACTGCTATCACTTTACTTTTAATAAAACCTCTAGTATAACGATATGCAGACAGATTAAGAATATCAAACACAATTTCTTAATATTCTTTAAGGGCTATAAATCCAAATATCGAATTTTCAGAAGTATCTGTCTATTCGTCGAGAAAGACAGTAATGTTATTTAAAGCTGAAAGTGTATTAAGCTTATCCTGGACATGGTTAGAAAACATTTTAGTTAAAAGACATTCCTTGACCATATCATGGGAAGGAAGATGATAAGAAGAATTTAATTCTTGAAAAAATTCTTGTATGTATGAGTTTTTAACAAAGTAAAAAGAAAGATTTTCATGAATAATAGCTTTGAGGAATTTTTGATGAAAATATTCTGTTTGTGCTTGAGATAAAGGTTTAGTACACTAGCTAAGTATAGTTTCTTGACAGGGTTAGATATAGATGAGTTATTATCATCTACTTGAGCAGTTGTCTGCTTAATAGATATGTTATTATCATGGACACGTTTACAGGATGCAGAAGTTTCTTCACTAATTTTTTGAATATAAGCAGTTTTTTCAACAGCATTCCAATCGTTGTACCGAAGAATGTGTTGATGAAGTTTATTAGGCTTGCTCAGTTCAGCCAAACAGTATTTGCATTTTGCAGTATATCTATTCTCGCCTCTTTTCGTTTCAGAATGGTAAAAACTATTTCAACAATTATCTTGTGTTGGGAGTAGCAAAGCAAAGCCAGTAGGAATATTCATGATGTAATGGATTTTACTTTAGAATAATAATTGTTAAGGGATAATGATAGTAATTTATGTGCGATGAATTTAATATGATGTAAAAATACAATAAGTTTATTTTTTATAATAAAAAAAGTTTTAATAAAATAATCTTATTTAGAAGACAAGTTGAATTGCAAGTTTTATTCAAAGTTAAAAAGCATAGTATAAATATATTTTACAACGATCTAAATTCTATATTATGATTCTTTTTTTTTTATAACTATTCTCAATACTTTATGCGCTTATGATTTCAAATTATACAATTATGCTTCGCACATAATCTCTTTTTCATGACCTATTTACAATATCATGCAATTATGCTTTGTTTGGCCACATAATCCCTTTTTTTCACAATAACTCATACATTTTTCTAATTTTTAATTACTGTATGTCTTCTGCATCAATCTGGTTGGCTTTGGCTATATTATTTCTTCTTTGCAATCAATTAACAATATCTCATGTGCTTTTCCAACTTGTAATTATGCTTTTCACATCAATCTGGTTGGCTTTGGCTGCATAATTCTCTTTACAATACAATATCCTAATGTATAGTTCCTACATCTAGTGTTTTTAACTAGTTTGCATAATTTTATTACTAATTTAAATATTTGATACCGAACTTACATTCTAACTCTTCAAATTTTAGTTGTACAATTGTGGTCCGTTGGCTTAGACTGCATAATCCAAATTAGAAATAAAATTAAATTGTTAGTGTTAGACAATATATCAGATTTTCTAATTTTGGAGGTAGCCTACTCTTTTAAATATTTTCATATGCAACAATAGTGGCTATGTACTAAGTAATAATTATATATGGAATAATAAATATATAAAATCACTAAATAAAAAAGGTTGATCATACATAATTTTTATTAGCAATTTAAATCTACATATTATCAAGAAGAAGAGTTGAATTCTATTATGATCAGTTATTTATTTTTATTTGAAAACATATTTACACTAGCGTTTGGATCTGTTGAACAAATCTGATTGATATTTAACTATTTTACTATTTTAATCCGGTGAATATTTTTTCAGATATTAATTATTAAGAAATAACAAAAAGTTTTTTTGAGTAAATGATTAAATTTTTATTTCATTATTGCTATTCTGTAAAATTCTTATGTATAAATAAATTATGACAACAAAAACAGAAGAAATAACAAGCTTTTAGTATAGGAAAATTGGACTTAAAGTAACTTATGTAATTGAATTAGCAATTTATTAAATAAAGAATACTTTGTATAAATATTTTAATGTTTTGTCAATATATACTGTATATTTATAAGATATATAAGTTATACTCATTTACTATATTGAGAGTTCATCACTATGAGAACTTTTTTTTTTTTGTAGACATTTATTTAAAAAAAATTACAATAGATTTATTAGATTTAACAGAACTTATCAGATAGTTTATAATTGAGTGTAAAAATCCAAGCCAAAAAATAGTCAGATATTCACAAACTTTTTATATTTCTTTATAGTGCAACTTTACAGAAAATTAAATATCTTAATGTGCAGTAACTGCATATGTAGTAACGATGTAGTAATTACATAATTAACATCATTACTATATAGTTACTGCGCATTAAGAGATTCAAGTTTTTGTATAAAAGTTATTAATTGAGTTTTACAAAAGCTGTACAGGACACATGATGTTGATTTTTAATATTAGCTAATCAAAACTTTTGATCAGTCAATATATACCACATGGGGCACGAGAAAATTTTTAGGCATACTCACAGGGGCATGCATCTACTAAGGGCATGCCTTTTAGTTTAAAGGCATGCCCAAGGGGGCATGCCTATGAGCCCTGTCCCCCACTCTAACTGAAACCAACTTGGCACAACATCAGCAAGCAACAAAGTGAAAACACCAGCAAGTGATAAAAAGGTGCACCAGTACAATGACAAATAAGATACCAACAGATGACAAAACTAACAACGAAAAGAGATACCAAAAAACAACACACTAATGCTAAAAAAGGTCTAAAGAAAAAAGTACTAACAAACAATGACACTAGCGACAAAAAGAGACACCAATAGATGATATCAGTGGTGATAAAACAAGACCACTCTGGGAAATACATGAAATCATTCCAAAAGAAAAAATATATAAGGTCGCTAAAAAAATGCTGAACAAATGCAAGTAAAACACACAATACTACCCTTTGCAAAAATATTGGAGAAAATGAAAAACAAGTTAGAGAAATATAAACTGTTAAATCTAGAGGAAATCTAATAGCAACATCAACGGCAACACCAATGACAACACCAACAACAACACCAACAACAACACCAACAACAACACCAATGACAACACCAACTGCAATATTAGCAACAGCATGACAAAAGATAAGCTAAATAAATGAATAAAAAAAAATTAGTTAAAGAAAGTAAAGAAAGCGAAAAAAAGCAAAGGTAAGTAAAAGAAAAAAAACAAAAAAAACCTGATCAGGATGATCTATACTTATCTATCTGGATCTGGCAATGCTAGAGATTGGAATCGATCAAATATTTAGTGATCGATCATTGATTGATCATGTACAAAGAAGATTGACATTTGATCGATCATAGCGATCATTGCATATGATCGGTCACGATCAAAAGATTGATCATAGTATTTTGATCGGTTATTACATATGATCGGTCACAATCATAAGATCAATCATAATTTATAACCAATATGATCAATTAATTATTAAAAAAATTTGTTATTTTTACTCAAACTTTGGCGATGGATATCTCGATAACTAGTGATTTAAATTAGTTCAAATTTTTACCAAAGATAGTATCAACATTATTATATGTTATATAAAAATTTCAGCCGATTTAGTCTGGTAGTTCCCGAGTAATCGCTTGTATACGATAGCTAATTTTTTTAAAAAATTAACTATCATATATAAGTGATTACTCGAGAACTACCAGATAAAATTGGCTAAAATTTTTATATAACATATAATAATATTACTACTATCTGTTATATAAATTTAAATCGATTTAGATTACTAGTTATTGAGATATCTATTGTCAAAGTTGAATAAAAATGACGAATTTTTTTAATAATCGATTATCATAGAATTTTGTTATTTTTGCTCAAACTTTGACAATTGATATCTCAATAACTAGCAAATAAAATCAGTTAAAGTTTTTACTATAGATAGTTTATATATTATTATAAAATAAATAAAAATTTCAGTTGATTTAGCCTTGTAGTTCTTCAATAATAGCTTGTATATTATAGTCAATTTTTTTTAAAAAAATTAGCTATGTATACAAGCAATTATTTGAAAAATACCAGACCAAATCAGCTAAAATATATATATATAATATAATAATATATATGCTATCTATTATAAAAATTAAAGCCAATTTTAATTATTAGTTATCAATTTATCTATCATAAAAGTTTGAGCAAAAATAACAAAATTCTATGATAATCGATTATTAAAAAAATTCGTTATTTTTACTCAACTTTGACGATAGATATCTCGATAACTAGTAATCTAAATCGGTTAAAATTTATATCACAGATAGTAGCAATATTATTATATGTTATATAAAAATTTCAGCCGATTTTATCTGGTAGTTCTTGAGTAATCACCTGTATACGATAGTTAATTTTTTTTTAAAAAATAGCTATCGTATACAAGCGATTACTCAGGAACTACTAGACTAAATCGGCTGAAATTTTTATATAACATATAATAATGTTAATACTATATTTGGTAAAAATTTGAACTGATTTAAATCACTAGTTATTGAGATATCGATCGTCAAAGTTCGAGTAAAAATAATAAATTTTTTTAATAATTAATCGATCATATTGGTCATAAATTATGATCGATCTTATAATCATGACCGATTATATGTAATGACCAATCAAAATACTATGATCGATCATAATCATTCAAGCATTTTCATAATCGATCATAATAATTTTGACCGAGCAATCGATCATATCATGTTCGATTCTAATCTCTAGGCGATGCACATCTGATTTTGCATTGGCAATCGAATTAACACATGAACTTTTAATCATGTGATTTTCCCATTCGTTGATTGGTCAAAAAGGTCAGAAACATATAAGCTATATATCTCTGGCCAGAAATATTTAGAAAAATCCTTATATTTATTATGAATAAAATCAAAAAATATAAAAAAAACTTTAATACTATTATAAAAAAGAGAGTATCTTTAACTGATATACAAAAAAAAGAATTATGTGAAAAAACCTAATAATCTTAATTTAAAAAGAGTAAATTTAGCTAAAGTATATAGAATAAGTGAAAAATCAGTACCTGATATTCTTAAATACTCTGAATACTGGTTAGGTTTTGATGATACTTTCAATTTAATTCAAGTTAAATATCAAAGAAAGTCTGATAATCCTGAACTTGAAGAGGCAATATCTATTTGGGTTAAGCAAGTAATTAAAAATGAATTTACCCTAACTAGTCATCTTCTTCAAGCCAAGGCTAAGAAATTTACTAATCAATTTAAAATTACTGAATTTAATGCTTATTTCTTTTTACTGATATTGAGAAGAAGCTGGTATTGTACTTTTGAAAGATGTTTTAAAATTTTATTTAAAACTTCAAGATATTTTTCAAAATTACAAGCCTAGAGACATATTTAATTGTGATTAAACAGCACTTTTTTGGCAACTTGAGCCAAGCAAAACACTTGCCTATAGTTTAGTTTTAGAGAAAAAAAATCAAAGGATAGAGTTATAATTATGGTTACTTGTAATTCTACTAGTAATAAAAAATTATCGCTTCTCTTTATTCACAAATACAAAACCTCATGTGTTTTTCATAGTGTAGAAAATCTACTTTTTTAATTTAGTATTACTAGAATAAAAAAGAGTAGATACAAAAAAGTACTGTATATTTAATTATTTTTTAAAATAATTTAATAGTCAAATAAGGCTTGCTTAATGAAATATTATTTTGCTTCTTGATAATGCTTTATCACACAATTTAAAAAATATTCAAGATTTATCAAATATTCATGTACACTTTTTATTATCAAATACAATGTCTTGTTTTTAACCTATCAATCAAAGAATTGATTATAGCCTCAAGTTAATTTTAAATACATAATTTATAATTTTACTATTCAATAAAAAATCATATTTATTTATTTTTTCTTGTAAGTACAATATTGGTATATTTTTTGTCAAAACTGTCTTGAAGCTTATGATGTGATTACTAAAGAAAATTAGGTTTCTTCTGATATTATATTATATGATGCAATTAATTTTGTAGCTCAAGCATGGAAAAATGTTACTTTAAGTACAATTATTTGTAGCTGGAATACTTTTATCTATAGAAATCTTGGATAATAATTTTACCTCTATAAATGAAAAAACTAAATTGGAAGTCTCTGTATTTGAAGAAGCTGAATTGGAAGTAGAGATTATAAATCTTAATATTTACCAATTGATGATCTCTTAGATATACAAGAATATATTGAAGTTGATAATTATATGAATATTAAATAAGACTTAATTATAAATGAAATTGTTAATATAGTAAATGGACAAGATAAGAGTTAATTAGAAAAGAAATAGTTAAAATTGGTGATACAATCATTGGATTTAATAATAAAATATATTCAGCAAAATGATCTAGAAATTACTTCATCTTTAATAAAAGATTTGTGTAGCCTTAAAAAGTATATTATCTATGAAAGTAAAAAACAAGCTATGTTAGAAGAATTTATTAATCTTATAGTTTAGAAATTTTTATTTTATTTTTTAAATAGTTAGTAATACAATATTACTATTATAAATATAAGCAAAATTATAAGTCTATTAAATAAATAAAATATATATTTAATTTCTTAATAAGAATCTTTGTTAGAAGTTGGGATCCTGTAACCTAGTGGTTTAGATACCCAACTCTTTACAGGCAGGTTTCAGGTTTAAGTCCTAATAGGTATGTTTATTTATTAATATTTGGAAGTATTTGTTGTGGGAAGTTCAAGTGAATACAGGTCTGGATTAGAAATTTTCAGAAGGAAGTCCATTGTGGAATGGTTGGCACTACATATAACAATAGTTGTTACAAAAGGTTCTATTATACAAAGATTGTGCATGTAAATCTGTGATTGGCAAGGCAGCACCAACAACCTTTAAGATGGCATTGGAGATCTTGTTTGGGAAAATGACTAGGTAGTAACCAGAATTGGAAGTGGTGAGAAATATGGTAAACACAAAGGAATCTGTAATAAAGAATTGGCCTTACCAGATTGAAACACCTCTGGTAGTACAAAACTCACTGGCCAATAAGAAGTTGAAGCATGAAGGCATATATATATTAATAGATCTAATAGGCTTTGGTCATACTTATATGGGAGCCTTTGGGCATTAAGAGAACTTGGAAACACCAATAAGGTATAGCTGGTATAAATACATATAGTAGTAATCAGGGGCTACAACTGCCGAGGATCACTATAAAAAGAAATGATAATGCACCTGTTATCTCTGAGCCTCATGATGCCACCCAACTATATTAACTACTAGAAGTATTCTGCAAAACATACCTGGAAACTTGTCACAATATTGGAAAATACAGTCATTAGCACAATTACCAAAATAGATACATTAAAACCTGGGTTCCAAAGTTGCAAAAAACTAGCTAGTTACAGCAACATGCAGGCTTGAGATACTTACCCACTTGAGTAGAGACAGCTACATGGCTTGAGATATGAACTCCTGGAAGTATGCCAGTAGGGACTAAGAGAATAATTCTCTGTCAGGCATACCAAACTGGAAGCAACAAGCACCTACCTAAAGCTACACACACCGATTTGGAAGTTGAAAGAGTAGGTAATATGGATAATGTGACAGACATGTGAATACTAATTGGTGGTTGGGGAGGGATGTACAAATTCAGGTCAGCTGTGTAGTGGGAATACGGTTGGCTCTGGTGGGTTTTAGCTGTGAATAAATGGCTTGTATACCTGATATCTTAGTCTTAGTACTTGACATAATATATATATGTATAGACACCATCATATGTCAATCATTTAAGTATTAATAAAGTCTAAGTGCGGGTGCTACACCCTTATAATTAAAAAAAAAATAAGAATCTCTGTTTTCATGGTGGAGAAAACATATCTGGCACCACAAATAAATTCTTTTATTTGGATATTTCTAAGTCATTTAAAATAACATGTTCCAATACCATGAATTGATTATACTGTACTTATACAATAAATCTCTCTAAATGCACATCCTTGGAACCACACTTTAATAACATGCATATAGAGAATAATAAGAAAAAGTGCAACACTTGAGCTGCATTTAGAGAGAATGTGCACTTACAGTATAGAAGGTGCACTTAGAGAGGTCTGACTGTACTTGAATTCTTTAATGCACCTTTTTATTACTCTCTATATACACATTATTAAAGTGTGGTCCCAAGGGCGTGCACTTAGAGAGGTATGACTGTAGTTATTAGCCCGACGTATGAAGCTCAATTTCGTGAAAAAAAGATGCTAAAGCATGTTTTGGTGAAAAAATAATATAATTTTTATTTTCTCTATGCTTTTTAAATATCATGCTAGTTAATAAACAGATTTTCGGTTCTAGTTCACTAATGACTGCAATACGAATAGGCTCATTTTCGCGTTCTAATTATTTGTACTTTAGGTTTGGTTCTAATAACACCTTCTTCGCATGCTTCCAATACCTTTAATTCTAATTGCATCCTTGAAATTCCTTGAAATTACATTACAACATTATGCACGATTGCCTTTATTTATTCAATTATGGGGAAAAAAAACTAGAATCACTAAGATTTATCCCGATATGACTTATAAGAGATCTTTGCTAAGAAAATCACCCTTCGGGATTTCCAATTGGGACAATTCGGAAAAGTTTAGACAGAATACCAGTTCTTATTCATATTTAAATCACCTTTTGCTTTATTTATTCAATAGTTTATTAAATAAACTGTTGAATTAGTAAAGTAAAAAGATGCTTTACATACGAATAAGAACTGACATTCTGGTCTAAACTTTTCCGAATTAGCTCTATTGGAAAATCCCGAAGGGTGATTTTTCTGTATTTGTTAAATCGTTAAAGTTACTATTGTTTGACATGCCACAAATAAAAGTATTTACCGCCAGTATTAGCAAACCAAATAATACTTGATTAAATTAATTAGTTGTAGATTTGTATTTTTGATGCTTAAAAAAATATTTTCTCGATATAGCGGAGAACTATATGATTTATTATAATATCCGGTATATCGTGAGATTTTGATTTTGATATAACGGAGAAAAGGACTGGAACCATGGCATCCGTTATATCGAGAGGCACTATATATATATATTATTTGAATTAATTTTAGAATTAGTTATTTTAAATTTGGGTTAAAGCAGGTTTTAGATAATTATATATGCAAAATTGCGGGTTCGTATCCTTCGTAGAAGTTTATTTCACAAACACCTTGTTTCACAGACAAGTTTATTTTAAAAACAATTAATTTACAGACAGTTCATTTTATAGGTAGTTCATTTCATAGACAGTTTATTTTATAGACAATCTTTAATTGCAAATAACTTCTGAATCAGTGTTAAAGATTGTCTACAAAATGAAATGTCTATGAAATGAACAGTCTGTAAATTTGATTGTCTTTAAAATAAACTTGTCTATGAATTGATTGTCTGAAACAAGGCGTCTGTGAAATAAACTTCTACGAAGTGATACGTACCCCAAAATGCCTTCCCAACATTTTATTTAACTAATCCAAGGTAGGTTTAGACTACCATTCTTTGTATTTTCAAGTTTTTCGTTTTTCTTGTTTCGTTTCATTAATGATCATCAAAATTCTATAATTGATTGGTCTTATATTGCGTAATCTTGCTTCGCTTTAGATAATCTCTTTAGAGGTTTGTATTACCGGCACAAATAAGTAAAACTGTATATATCGATATATTATGGATAAACTAATAAATTTTCAAAAAAAAATATCAATTGTTAGTATAAAAGATACTATATTTATTATTTAAAACAAAACACTTTAATACAACTCTAGATAATAAGATCACCAATTCCTTTTTTTTTTTTTTCATAAGAAATCTCTTTTGTCTTTTCTAAAAATTTATGATCACTGTAAAACTCTTGTACATAATTTTTTTTTTTCAAAATTTCGCATTTATTCTATTTTAAGGTGGACTTTTGTTGGTACTATTTTAGATGATAACTTTATCTTCTACCCGAACTAGGTGGATATTCGCAGTATCGATCTTTTACACGGGTTACTTGAAATACACCTATAAACAAGTGATCAAGAAATAAAATTTATAAATAAAAATCTGATGCCACGTCAGTAAATGTACATATTTCAAAATACCTTGTTGTGAAGTAAAAATTGAATGCTGGTATTGATGAATGTTGAGGACCGTAAGAGTTTCAAGAACACGACCTGGTTTACGTTCTTTTTTTTCATTAATCAATAACTCGCTTCTCGTGTAGGTAAATTCGAAAGGTGGGGTACCTTCAAAATTTGACGTTGGTTATTTGAAAATATAAGTGTTAATTTTTATCTTATTAGCAACTATAATGTCAAGTTATTAAAAGACAATTCACCAATAAAATTGACAATAATTTCAGTTTTGTCTCCTTCTCTAATATCTGATATAATATCTTTGCCTTCGGAGACAATAGCGGTTGGAAGATCATAAATAATCTCTGTTAAATTTGATACATATCCGCAACATTGATTTCCTTGGTGACAAACTTTAGTTATTGTCATATTTCCAGGTTTATCTGCTCCAAAAGTGTATGTGTGGGTTTTTGAAATTGTGTGTAGTACTTCTCCATTATATTCACGAGTAATGTTATATGGAATCATGCCTTAAAATAAATATATTAAAAAATGTTAATATGATTTTTAAAGATTAGTACTATGATTATCGGATAGAATTTATACCTTGTAGCTTGTAAATTAGTAAATCACCAACGCAATGGATTTGTTGTAGGAACGTTCGATCAATTGATGCCACGTCAGTAACTTGAATAGATATTTTATTATTTGGTCCTTGTAATGTATTGCTACAACCATGAGAATCAACTATATGAACTAATGTTATAGTATAATTTCCAATTTTTGCAAATCTTGTTGACGGATGAAAATTATATACGGATTCGTAAATTTCTTCGATCTTTAGAGTTTCCATCTTATTGCTGCTTTCCTGCGCAACTTCAAACGTTAGACTAAAAGGCGGTACACCATCTAATTGAATCTTAATATCTTTATTTGTAAATGGAACATCAACACAATGAAACATTGTATCCGCTGAAAGAAATCTAGCAACCGGTTTAGCGTTAACAGTTTGTTCAAGAGTTAATAATATTGGGCTTGGTTCAATGTAAACATCATCAGCAATACTAGTGAAATTATAAAGATGCCTTCCAGCTTTATTTGTCATAAGCCGTATTTTAGTGGTTGTATATCCAACTGTTTGATGACGCGTTAGTTCTTCATCACTTGTAATTATTCTATAATAAATTTCCCATGGTGCTCGACCTTCCATGACCAAACCAACCGAATCATCGGATCCTTCACAAACATTCCTACGATGATAATGACCTTTTTGAGGCAATGGTTCAGCATCATCTTCTGCTATTCTTAACGATGGTCGTGGCAGCCATCTCGCCTCAACTTCCTTCATTTCAGGTATTATTCTGCCATAGCAAAAAGAATCTTTGACTTCTAATAACTCATAAACACCTTGTTCTGACACAGTTAAGAATGAATTAGGATCAGCAATTTCTGATTTTCTTTCAACCTTTTCAACATCACCGTGATAACGGTAAGAAATATTCCAAGGCGCATGCCCAGTTAATTGTAAAGGTAATTTAACGTCATGTCCTTCAAGGAATGTGATAATCTCATGTGTATGTCTAAATCCAGCAGTTGGTCTATCTTTTTTAACGTTAATGGTCACGTAATCAGAAGAATTTAAGACCTGACTACATCCTTTTGAATCAGTAATCTTCACCAATGTTACGGTGTATAAGCCTGGATTATCAAAAGGTGGAGATGTAAGTACATGAGTTGAACCTCGGATATCAGCAATTGTGAACGCGTTAATCCTTCTATTAAATACTACTTCATATCTGTCATAATAAAATTATTAGTAAGAAAATTAGCATATATATAATAAATCAGTACAACATACTATAGCGCACTTACATTAACGTGAAGGGACCAGTTCCTACAAGTTCTACTTCCAAGTCGATGCGGCTTCCAACACAACCATTCAACATTCGATTTTTTAAGCCTCTAAAAGCGGCATTGGGTTTCGGGTGTACTGTTTGAGAGAATTTATGATCTATTTTAACACCTTCACGATAAATAAAATCCATTAAACGAAAAAATCTATATTCATATTGTCCTGAAGTAGTTGGTTTAATAATCATTGAATGTCTTGACTTTTCAATTTTTATATATTCTTTTTTTTCTTTATTTTGAGAAATTACTGAATATTCGACTTGCCTAACCAAAATATTATTAAAATATTATTTAACGTTATAAAATCAATAAATATCGTAAATGGTCAATTAAATTGTAATAAAGCTTACCAAGGTGGAGTTCCAGTTAATGAAAGGATTACTTCGACACCCACTTCTCCAGGACAATCATCAGCAGGTATAGGGATGACATCGAACTTGACAGTGGGTGGATAGGCGAGAATTACATTCTTAAAAGAAGGTGCTAAAACTTGGCCAGCACATTTAGAATCTGATACTGAAAGAATCCTGTACATTCCAGGTTTTTGTACTTTAATCAAATTTTCTGTTTCCGGATTATTTATAGTTATATCAAATTCTTCACTTGGCTTTATAATTGTTGCATCATCATTTTCAGTAACATCCTCAGACCAATACCCAATTTTAACGTTCCATGGTTCTAATCATAAAAATAAATCATTTATTTTATAAATATTTCATATCTGACATTTAAGTCATTTAAGTAATTGACATTGATACTTACCTTGACCCTGCAAGTCTAATGGAATTTTAGCAGTTTGTTTAGGGCGAACATATATTGAAATGTCAGACATAAAACTCGCGGTAGGTCGTGTGTAAACTGAAAACCTAACATTAACATTTGGATTTTGATCATTTTTATAACTAATTGTATTATTTAATACATCCTGAAGCTGTAAAACTTTCAGCCAATAATCGGCAACGAATTCAGCAGAAAGATTCAACCGAACCTCGGTTATTTGATCATGAGCCCACTGATAATTTCCAGATGATGCCAAGGTCATAGCTTCTTGATCTGATCGAATTGGAGGAGAAATATAATGCTCAGGACCAATACTGTCTATAGTCATGTTATGTACATAATTGTTTATTCGTCGTTCGTAGATTACATTTAAAGGGGGTACGCCTTGTAATATTAGGTCAACATGTATATCATCCTCAACACATAGATTTGGACCAGATTTTAATATAAATTTTGCCATTGGGCAATATACTATAGTTACATCTCTTTTATATATTTTGATTCCCATTCCATCTTTATCTAATGCTTCTTCAAGTTGATATACACCTGGTTGATTAACTGGAATATCTACGTATTCTAAATGAACACCATCATGAACCACATCAGTCATACGATGCTGTTCAATCTCTTTTGAATAAACATCATGCATAGTTCTATTTCCAGTTTCAAAATCTAATCTTGAATAACGAATTGAGTTTGGAGATGTTTTATTGAATAAAATTGGTAATTTAATCGCAGGTTTTTTTCTAATACTTGATCTTTGTAAGCATAATTTATCATCATCTGGATTTAATTTTGCAGTAGCGTAAGGTAAAAGACGAACACTATGTTTTCCAACAATGTGAGATGAATTATATCTTACAACTATAATTTTAAAATAAAAATTTTATTAATACTTGCAATAGTAATTAATAATGTAAAATTAAAGAAAATATAATACCATCAATTAAAATATCTTCTTCTTTACTGACTGCACGGACTTTCTCGCCTTTTAATCGAATATATTGTTTCCGTACTAATTGTTAAATTAAATGAATAAAATGTAACTATCAATATAAAACAATAAATTCTATTAAATTACTATCATTAAACCATTAAATCAAATCAATAATGAAAATTTGAACTTACTAATCATATAAAAAGAATTTAATAAATCTAATATGTATTTTGTTAGACCAACATCATAAATCTTTTGGTGAATAATTGAAATAGAAGGAATTCAATAATTAGACGCGTAAAAGTAAAAGTTCAAATAAAATTAGATATTATTATACTAACCCATCGAGGTTGAAGTATAGTAGCATTGACTATAAGCGAAACGATAAAGAATAATATCCAAAACCAAAGACGTTTTTGAAGCCATGGTATCCGAAATATATATAAACCGAGGAAAAATGAGGCGTCCAAAATGCACCATTTGGTTAATATTCCAAGTAATGGCGCTGTCTCATTACAATGAATATAATTATATCCTTTAAACGCTAATATTCCACAAAATACTGCAGAAGCGACGATTCTCTGTTGATGAGCAGAGCAAATATTGACAGGTACTAAGGGAGGAAGTTCGTTTTCTAGATTACGTGGACGTGCCCCAACACGTCTTATTGCCATTGCTAAGCTAATAAAAAACTATTAGTTTGGCGACTGCACGTGAAATCGAAACTTACAGAACGTACGTACGAACTATGCACGCACATACACGCACCAAAAGGTTTTTAACTTTACTCACGTACTGATGTAAATTCTGTAATTTGCATCATGTGATATTATCGTGTAACATCTACATGCAGACCAAAGATATATAAGTTATGTATAAAGAAAAAAATGAGATTTTGCAAAATTATAAAAAGGATATCCATATCAGATATAATAATCGATGAACTGAACGATTAGAATTTTTGAGTGTTTTTAGATCTGAAACTTGAAGTAAAGCCAGTATTCATGGAATTCCTGTGTGAAAGTTATCTTGACTAAATCAAAACGTTCCTAGGTTATCTCGTTATTTGGTAAGGTTTTTTTTTTTTTAAACAGTTTCGTTTTTTACATGATCTTTATCATTAGATGGTTATCCTCGAATCGACTTTATCGTTTGTTGTATTGTAGCACCATTTTGAATAAATTGCAATCTTAAACCCTTTCAGTTTTTCAAAATGTCATTTTAGAGTTTTGACTAATAAAGAAAAAGTAAAATTTTATTTACAACTCGTATTATCAGCTTGAAGAGTGTGTATTTCGATCCGGGATCGTCAGGCACTGGTTATCATTTTGTCATGTTTTAGCCAGCATCTAAGCCAGCATCTGATGAATATGGGCTAATTTGCGATAATTGGGCCCTGAATAGAGTCACTAAATTCAGGCTAAACCCCCTATATGATTTTTATTAGGTGATTATTTTAATTTTTTGAGGGTCTATTCTGCACCATTATGCAAGAACAAACCTATTAGAGATTCTACCACAAAATCCCGACATCCAAAATCCCGAAAATCAAAATCACGACGGCACCAAAATTCCGTCAGGTTAAAATCTCGATACTTTCGGGATTTTGATTTTCGGGATTTTGAGTGTCGGGATTCTGTGGTAGAACCCTATTGGATTATCTTCAAATCCATTAGATTATCATCTAAACCATTTGTCTGACCCACTGAGACATGTTGTTTGACATTGTTATTATTATGAGTAATGTTAAAAAATAAATAATCCGACTCACAAATGGTATAGTTAATCGTCTAATAAGCTGTCTGTCAAACAATTGCATTAATTGCATTGTCAAATAACCTGTTCCACTATCAAAAATTTGGGATTCTATTGCAGCACATGTAAAATAAAAAGAGACTTGAGCCATAACTCTACATAGAGTTATATGTTCGTCTCATCTTTTGATGTAAATAATGATATTTTGGTTCTTAAATTTCATGAGAAAATCCAAGTTCTTGGTAAAAAGAAATCATCTAAGATCAATCGTTTAGATGCCCTACTGTTTTGAAAAGTTGATTGATGAAAACAAAAACTACCGTATTTTCGTGAAATAACGCCACCTGTGCGATATTTTGTGTGTATGCACGTTATTTAGAGTACGCGCATGGGCGTTCTTTTGAGACAAAGATAAACCTGTCTGCTATATTCAATATTTGTTGAAACCCTAATGTGGGTGCGTGTCATTTCGGGACGCGCATGAGCGCTATTTTGAAACCATGCATGTTATTTTTAGGGACACAATCTTCTAAATAACGCCCATGCCCGTTATTTCGCGAAAATACGGTATCTTCAATTAGTGAATCAATTCTGACAATTTAATAGAAACTTTGCCTTTCGATTATGGAAGCAAATTTAAAGGATATTTGCTCTATATCAAAAATATGGATTAATTAACTTGTATTATTCACTTGAAATTAATGCAACAACGGTGGAAGAGCTAACTCCTGATGAGTTCCAAGAGTTAATTTAACAATATACCAGGTTCAGTTCTATTTGCATATATTAAAGATAGTTCGGTTTGGGTTTCGAAAAACAGATTGAATTAATTGGTATATAAAGTTTTATCAGTTTATTAATAACTTTCATAATTTTCACACTTTTACCTAAGTTTTATCAGTTTATATTTCACGTTTTTAACCTAAGCGTCAAAAATATAAATAGTATATGGCTAGTTTATATTAAAATAAATAAACTTATTCCCTTTGGCTACAACCCTCTTGCACTGTCTCATAACTATCAATTATCACTATAACTATAGCCCCCTCTATACTCAGACCTTCTCTTCTTTTTCAACATCCAACATTCTTGTACTATTCTTCAACGCTCCACATTTGGTATACATTCTAAAAATTCTATCCTTCTGATCTAGTATAGGGCCATTGAAAAAGCATAATATGCACATAAACATGGATTTTATCGCGATAGCATATTTTACATAGAGCAGATTTTGCATTATTCGGAGTTTAATTTGTAAATTTTAGCAGATTTAAGCATAACGATACATTGATGAAGACCCAGAGATGTAAAAAATTAGTGATCCTAAAATACGAGCGAGTTCTCGGAAAATTTTTGAGTTTGATTGTATCACAAGGCAAATCAGGCACCAATCGGTATCACGTAATCCCGATATGAACATGATTTTAAACAGGAGACCTTTAAGATACAAATTGGGTTCATATTGGCGATCAATAAATATCGTAATGTCGATAGCTCTATAGGTAAATCAAAAAAGCTATAAGGCAAGCTTTATCGGTTTACCTATAGAGCTATCGACATTCCGATATGTATTGATCGCCTATATGAACCCAATTTGTATCTTAACGTGATGCCCGATTTGCCTTCATTCGACCTGTGTATGAACAAATAAATTTTATTTGGGCTGCCGTCATTAGAAATCAGGCAGATTGACACTTTAAAAAAAATCTATACCTCAACTTTCACAGTTAATACCAGATATCTCGATTAATTTTGAAGCTAGTTTGATAATTTAATATTCAAAAGAAAGATTAAGTTCTAAGCTTTATTGAATAATCAAGATAGCTTCAAAATTCATCGAGATATGTATGAGCTGTGAAAATTGAGGTATGGATTTTTTTAAAATGCCAATCTGCTCGACGGAGCCCATTTAATTTGCAGAACTTATGGCATAGTTTAAAGAAATCTGTTTCATGACAAAAATTGACAATGAGACCCTGACAGGTTCAAATCCCAAAAAAGCGGCTAACATTAAGCTAATCCTAAGGGATTCTTATTGTCGGGATTTTAACGGATTCCGAAATAAAACTAGTGAAGAAACAATTTCGTCACTATTGATGAAATGAGAAAAATCAATTTCAACCAGCATCTTTAGTTCCGTTAACTTAGAAACGGTTCGAAAAATATTTGTAACACAATTTTAATCTCATAAAAATGATTGAAATCAAACTTAATTCACCGGAGATATAATTTCGTTATAGATAGTGGTGGTTAATGATATTTAATGAAAAATACGCACAATTTACTATCAAATTTCATCAAAGTACGATAATTTATCTTTTAAACTTGCAATTTGAGAAATTCCAATTTAGATTCAGGATTGATCACAAAGTGATAACGAATATCAGCGGAAAGAACTTAAAAGCGGCTAGAACCATAATAAAATTTAATGGTTTCGTAATTAAAAATTCTAAAAATAATTAGGATAAATGCGTGATCCAATATCGTGCAATTTATTATTAAGTTGTCATTATGAGAATATTTTTGACGATATAATCGACTCTTGATATAGCAATAAGATATATTGCACATCTTCACTGTGCAAAGGGGGTATCGAACGATCGTTACTTATGCATTTTACAGATTATTATTATTATTATTTAGTTAGCCTATTTTCTAAAAAAAAATCAACAACTTCTGGAATGTATTAAATACTATCACCGATAATCACTATTGGTCGCCAATATGTCGAAATAATGAAATTTAGGTCCCTTATTAAGAACTCTAACCCTAAAAAAAATAGCTGCAAAATATTTATAGTACGTATGTACATACATCATAAATTTTGACACCGCAAGTTCACATCACAAGTTCACATCACAAGATAATCATTAAAGATTTTCGTATCGAAGATCTTTTTTTTTCAAATACGAATCTAAATAAAATCCGAAAGAACCCTAATCAACATAGTGCATTTCATGACTAAGATTATTAATTTATTTGTTCACCCAAAAATAGAGTCATCAATCTTTGATTTTTTGGGGTTAGTCTTATTATTACATTTTACCTTTGAAGGAAAAAAAGAAAATCAATCAGTTAGTTTAAAAAAATAAAAATAAAAAAAAACGATCATATTTATGTTTTACCAGATCAGATGATTCGGTTATGCAAGGATTGTTTTTTATATATTTCGCCTGACCGAGAAATTTTACTGGTCATCAAACGCGTGTAAAACATTTTGCATGCTTTCGAGTATAAACCAAGCCCACAGCGTTGTACATTTTAGACGTTCGGACCTTTTTGGATCATTCGGCAGATTGTCCGCTGAACAGTCCGACTCTCATCTAGCCTTTCCTAAAACGTACACATATTTATGCAAAAGTTAATTTTGAACAACATTAATTAAGAGCTTATAGCAGGTCATTATAATAAAATTTTTGTTATTCAGTGTCTTTTGCTACGCCTTGATCAGAAGCATAGTGGAAGTTATATACTCCTATTCGAAAACATGCACGTGTGTGATTACCAATAAAATTGCTCGACCAGATGCGTGTACGATACTTTATAGTGATATATAGTATATTTAAGGCGTTTTTGTACATTATACATGTGTAGTATTAATGTGTCTCACAGTAGTATTATGCATATTATGTATTTAATTCTACTATTTCGTAACTATTGTTAAATAGAAATGCCACCGTCTGGTAGGCAGAAGAAAACAAAAACAATGATATTTTCTCTGTTTCACGTGCTACAATGACGTATATAAACTGTAATATCTCCGATATACTTTTATCTTTACTAGTGTTGGAAATTTTTTATTGGAAGACCCTAAAATTAATGAAATCACTGGAATTGGAGTTTATTGGAAGACCAATGCATTCCAATTAACAACACTGCCTTAATAATAGTGCTGAGTATTAGATCGCTCTCAACCAAA